CCTGCTGGTTTCAATTAAATTCTCTGTGCCTCACTGTATTAATCTATTAACCTTAATTTTTGTGATTTCCATTCAGAATATGTTAATTTACTCTTTGCTTGTGACATCACGGTCTGTTTGAGGATAAATTAAATATGACAAATATGACTCTGCCTTTTCTGTAGCATTTTAATGAGGTGGAAGAAATAGTTCTAAAAGGCAATAATTCATTTTCATAATACTAAAATTCATTCAGTATTCAAAAGTCCTAAGTAATTATAAGAAAACTTGAGTTTACTTCTGTTAAAGTGTTTTTTTTTGTGTATTTGGGGACATAGTTATGCTCAAGAAAAAGCTGTTTGTGGGTGGAACTGGTTATTTTGTGAAGGAAAAATTTTAAAATGAAATGTTTTTCATTGCTTTTTTTCAATTATTTTGTCAAGAGCAATCTTCTTTGTTGCATTCACTTTACCATACATAGCAATACCTCTTACATTCTTCTGATTATATGGTAACATCTCTCATATATCAAGATAATGGGATAGTGTTTCTTGCTGTATTTCTAGCTTCTCCAAAGTATACACTTTAAAAAACGTTAATATTTACACTTTGACAATGGTGAATGTTTTCCCAGCACTATATCCACCTCTTAATCTTCTTAAATTAAAAGGTAACCATGAGTGTAGTTATATAGTATTGTAAAAAGTCAGCTTTACTTCCATAAAACTTGCTGTAGGAGGACTGAGAACAAGCAGAATTCTTGTTGTGCAGAATAGTCATATATTTTTAGCGGTTTGGGTAAAGAACTATCACAGGGCAATGGCAGAGTACTTTGGTGTACGTTAGTAGACTTTTGGATCATCTAGGATATCCCTTGAGTGTTGCGCAGAATAGTCATATATTTTTAGCGGTTTTGCATTATGGTCCAAAACGTCTTTATTATGCTGCACAAACCACTGATCACTACTCATGGCAAGTAAGCATTGGGTTAAATTCTTGACTTTAAAACACTAAGAAGCGTTGATAATTTCACATTTGCCACTTCCAGATATTTCAAAGAACATTATCACCATTAAGTTCTTTTTCCCAAAAGGAAATAGGTATCACATGGAATAGTAGCTGTGCGTGAAACCTCTGTATCTTTACAAAAAGTCCAATACAAGAAACTCCAACTTCTTGTGTCTATTCCACCCATACTCTTCAACTCTGACCTAAAAGACAGAGTTTTTCCTTAGACAGTCTGACCTAGGAGAGTTTCTTCTGACACTTCCGTTTAGACTGTAAGCGAGGAAAAAAAACTCTGTCAAGTCTTCTTTTGCTTTACTGGGACTATCCTCTAGAAACAGGACTGAAAACTATCCTCTAGAAAACAGGACCAGATCATATCACAACATCTCTGGATGGATAGTCCAGCACATGTCAAATACAAAGCAGAGCTGAGCTGCTGACTGGTTGGTAAATAGCTTTTAATAGGCGTATCAAACCTCTGCCATCTTATATCTGTCCTGATTTAGTAATTGGTTATTAATTATCAGTTTTCACTGCTTAGAAATACTTAGATGCCATCAGGAGATAGCAATCAGCTGTTTTTTATAATAACAGGTACAAGTAACAGGTATGAAAACTCAAGCTGGATTAGAAAAATTTACTCAGGTAAATAAATTTCTCATAACAACTCAACTAATTAATTACATTTTGTTTTAGGTATTCACGGGGATATTCACAGCAGAAATGGTACTAAAGATAATTGCCATGGACCCTTATTATTATTTCCAAGAAGGCTGGAATATTTTTGACGGTATTATCGTTAGCCTTAGTTTAATGGAGCTTGGTCTTGCAAATGTTGAAGGATTATCTGTTCTTCGGTCATTCAGATTGGTAAATACCTTGATAATTAAATATTTGCATGCAATTGTTTCATTCCAAAAATGTACTAAGGTCTGTAATAATTGCCAGTATTGTAAGGATATATTATATAACTAAATGACTCACACTATTTTTCATATATGCCTAATTCGCTAGCCATATTTGATAAGTACAAGTTTAAGGTACTTGTCAATTGATATCCTTGATCTCTTTTGGTATCAAATTATCTTATTCATATGCTATTCTTCTGATATCCTTTGCCAGCATAAGACTAACTGCTACCAGCCACCAGCATAAAGAATCATAACCTTTTTCAGTCCTTATACTGTGAAGATTACTTTGTTTTACTCAGAAAGCTCCTAAGTAGATCCTCTCTTCACAACATTTATTTTATGGCACTGAGAATAAACATTTAGTAACTCCATTACCTATAACAGAGAGTCATAACAATCTGACTTTAGGATAACACTTAAATTGAAATATTATTGAGCTTCCACTAGAAATGTCTTTTTTACAGCAAATACTATTTTATATTGTACACAAACTAATTTATAGGTATGTTTACTGGAGGCACGATTCATGATTTCAAAGTCTGTATTACTAATGGTTATCACATTACTTGAAAGCCTAGGTTATTTCCTAATATAGAGAGCAGGAAGTCGTGATTTAGTTTATTAGTACCAGTTGCAATGGTACCCAACTTCACACACTATAATTCAGTTACTGAATATTATTTTTAAGTAAGTGTTTATGATTTGAATGGACATCACAATATCACCATCAAATTGTTGCTTCAAAAATTGTCCTCTAACTAAGCCTGGAAGACCTAATGTGGTTCTGAGGGAACGAAGCCAGCAAAAAGGGTGTAGCAAAGGTGATAAAAAGAGTACAAACTTCTAAAATGTCTTTCAGAATTTTTCAGTAATCATCTGTAAGTGGATGTTTAAAAATACTAAAATCAAATGTGGTACAAACAGAAATGATGAGGTTTCCTTCTATGTGCATCACTAAGATGAAATGCTGAACGCTGCAGTTTAGGCACCCACCAAACTCCATGCTCCCTGCTTTCCATTAAAATAGTAGTATCTTCCTACTGAAGAACAAATTAATCTACAGAAACTGATATGGTCTGCTAAACAACTTGGACCTAGCTTCTGTTTCATAGCTAAAACTTATGACTCCTCTGTGTTTTTGTTTTTCAGCTTCGAGTTTTTAAGTTAGCAAAATCTTGGCCAACTCTAAATATGCTGATTAAGATTATTGGCAACTCAGTGGGAGCTTTGGGAAATCTAACCCTGGTGCTGGCCATTATTGTCTTCATTTTCGCTGTGGTTGGGATGCAGCTGTTTGGGAAAAGCTACAAGGAATGTGTCTGCAAGATCTCCAGTGACTGTGTGCTTCCACGCTGGCACATGCATGACTGGTTGCAGGCCAAACCATGTGCCTTATTGTTTTCATGCTGGTCATGGTGATTGGAAACCTAGTGGTACGTGATGAACATTTTTGAACATTAATTCTGATGCAAAATATACATAACTTACAGCTAGGCAATGAGAATGTTTGTCATACTTCTGTTTAGAATTAAAAAATAAATCTGAATGTGCTAGATTTTGGGTAAAAACATATGATGATTCCCTTCTGCCTCATTTCACTCATTTCCATACACTGAAGTATTCTCACTATGGGTCCAGGAATTTAGGAATACGCCAAAATGTCAAATCAAACACCTTATCGTGCGTGTGCTGCAGCTAATTTAGAGGTGCTGTTTAAATCCAAATGTCTTCCTAACAACTCTTGAAATAATAAAGCTTATGCTGCACCAGCTCCTGAGCAGCTACTTCTTCAGAGAAAAAAACCAAACTTTCTTACACCCGTTAAAGCTAATTCCAGTACTAATGCTTCTGACTTAATAAAAATAAAGTATAATGAAGATTTTCTTATATAGAATGTCTTGAATTTAAGTACTAAACTGGCCTGTTTAGGTGTAAAAAACAAAAATGAAATAGAGTGATTGGATGTTCTAAAATTATGTTTCAAAGTTTCTAACTCAAAATTATAGAAGAAACCTTTATAGAGAAATTTTAATTCAAGCTGATGAGTTAAAATGCCAAAGGTCCAATATGTAAGTATTGAAGTGGTGAGAACTTCTTAGAAATCGGGATTATAATTGGAATGCACCATTTACACTTTTACTTTATTTTTATGTTCCTTTTAGTGTTAATCTTTGCAGCTCATTCTGATTGATACGCCTAAAAACTGTATTTCATTACGTGTCAAAATTCTCTTCCTTTAGTGATATATTTTAACGTGATTTAAATTTTTATAAAATACAATTCAAAGTGTTCATATTCTAGTTGTTTACATGACTTTGCAATCTTGTCATTATATCAGCAGAAAAGTGCAAAGACCCAGAAAGTTATTTATGATCAGTAACCTGCTCTACTGGTTTTTTTTTAGTATTAGCTTCAGCATAGAAATACTATGGATATAAGGATATAGAATACAGATTCATATTGTTTTCCTTCTTCCAAGTGCCTTTTTACCTTCAGGGTTCTTTTCTAGAACTGTGAAAGTCTGCAGAATTAAATCTCATAGAGAGTACAAATGAGAGACGTAACACGTTTAACTACGGGGAAGTTTGTTTATGCCCTTTTGCCATATTATGACAACTTTTGATGCCTGGCGGTGTATCAGACTGACAGTATGAAACTATTAATTGCTTGTAAGATTTAGTGAAATAGCTACAGTTTATAGAGACTATATTAAAACAAGAGTAATGATGTTTGAATTTTGAAGCAATAAACCACAGTTCTCAGGCAATAATGGCGCTAAGATTGTTACCTGCTGATGAAATAAATCCATTTTATTTTTAAATTCCTACATGACAAAACAAAATTTTTTTGTGAAGTGAAAAAGGAAAAAAATCCAATTACAAATAATACAGGATTATTATAAATAATAGAGATTAAAGTGTAAAATTCATTTTAAATACTCCTTTTATCCTTTTATGACAAGCTTTATAGAGTTTAAGGGACAAGCCCAGAATTAACAGAAAATCACAGTCTCATGGTATAATCTTCCAAATAGTAGTTAGAAAGGTTATTATATCATTAACTGGTATGAGTTTCTAAAATATCTGCATCATAGAAACCCATCTAATTTTACAACTCATGTTTATTTAATTCTGCTTAAATTCCAGTGATTTTAAATGATTTAGATAGAAGCCTTTCAAACCTCTGAGGATGTGTATAGCTAGAATTTGTGCAACTTTTTTCTATTTTATAGTCTAAGCAACTATGCTCCTTCAAACAATGATCAAAAAGTTTAAAAAAATGTGGTATCAGCTTGTCTGTTTTCATCTTCCGAGTGAATACTGATCAAAACAAGGAGATCTTTTGTAATTTAAGGTGCTAAATGGTTGTCTAAAATTAGTAAATGTTGTTTTTCAAAACAATGTGTGCTATTTGACAGTAAAATACTGTACTCACCTCTTATATGTATGTATTTACTGTACAGCTGTATTCTCTCATCTTTTAGGTATTGAACCTGTTTCTGGCCTTGCTGCTGAGCTCATTTAGTTCAGACAACCTTGCTGCTACTGATGATGATAATGAAATGAACAACCTACAGATTGCTGTGGCAAGGATTCAGAAAGGCATAGATTATGTTAAAAAAAAGATACAGGAGTTCATCCAAAAAGCCTTCATTAGAAAGCAGAAAGCTTTAGAGGAAATCAAAGCACTTGAAGAGCTAAACAACAAGAAAGACAGCTGCATTTCCAATCATACTGCTGTTGAAATAAGCAAAGATCTGAATTACGTGAAAGACGGGAATGGAACCACCAGTGGTGTAGGCACAGGCAGCAGTGTGGAAAAATATGTAATCGATGAAAACGATTACATGTCATTCATAAACAACCCAGGCCTCACTGTGACAGTGCCAATTGCAGTCGGAGAATCAGATTTTGAAAATTTAAATACAGAAGAATTTAGCAGCGAATCTGATATGGAGGAAAGCAAACAGGTAGGATTTTTTGTATCTTAATGATTAAACTATAGTCATGCATTTACATATTTCTTACTTACAGATTTAGAATTGTTTAAAAAACTGCCTTTTCTAATGTAAATATATTTTATTATTTTATGTACTTACAACTCAAGGAAAAAATTACCCTGCATAATGGCATACTAGGGGGTCCTTAGAGTCTACATTTTTAATGCTCTGTTTATTAGCATTTGGAAGATGTGTCATTTTAAATATGATTATTTCATTCACAATTTCATGAGCTTTTTGGCCTAGCACACATTTCATAACACATTCTTTCTGTAGTACCTATAATGCGATTGGGATTTATGGAATAAGAGTATTGCAGAAGGCAAAGGAACAATCAAGGGTGTACAGCTTTGCATATGCAATCAAGTACAAGTGGAGAAAAAATATTTTTTTCTATATTTAGGTTAGTGTTAAAAATGAATCCTGAGACATCATAAATCAGTGATGTATTCAGAATTGCCTAAAAAGTTTTGTGAGTAATATCCGTACAGATTTTAGGTTCAGAGACTATGGCTGGCTGAATTGAAGTAATCCAGATACCAATCAATATCACGGTAAAGCAGTATCTCAAGTTATCCTGGAGAGCAGAATAATCTTGCAATACAGATGCATGTGGAAACAGTTTACTTGAAAGCCTTATGCTGTTCTTATTGTGCAAAGAGACAGAAGTTGCTCTAAAAACCAGAAGCCACATACCTCAAAATATAAGTGGCTCAAATACCAGAAGTGATCATGAACAGGTGCTAATGGTATTCAAGGAAAACTTTGTATGTTGGCGTAATGATCAATGACAAGCTAATAAATGCATTACCAGAATATAATTATATCCAGTGGCATTAGAAATGTAGGAACTGTGAGGTTCAAGGGATTGGGAACCATGGATAAATATGTTTTCGATTAGATTAGAAGCTATGATGTTGTGTGATAACTCATTAATACAAAAAGGTTTATTTACCATTAAGAAAAGTTCTTCCACAAAGAAGCCCTGCATTCGTCACTGCATCATAGCTATATAGCTGCCATATTTGCAGCAAAACCGAACTACCACATAACATTAATGGATAGCCATGATCCAGTTAATGATAGCATGTGTTTTTTAGTTTTTATTTTGTTTTTAGCTAAAGAAAATAAAGGAACATAAAGAGTGTGTGTTTATTTGCAACTGCAAAGAAGGTAACTTTGCATAGCAATTGTAAGATTGAGAGCAAGATATTTTATCATCTGATGGAGTTGCTCAGTTATGTGACAAACATTTTCAATGCAGGTGTATAAGATAGTATAGCAGTAATGCTTATGCATGACAATTTAGGAATCTAAGAGATTCAGGAAGTGTAAGGTGATATAATTTATGAGATGAACTAGTATCAAAAAACAAGCTTTCAAAGTAACTTTGAGTCTGAGTCAAGTATTTTTCATGTAAGCTGATCTAATAAAAGTTTATTGTCTTTTCTAATGAACCTTTAGCAAAGTCTTCTAAGTCTTTTCATATATTCTGATGTTCTTTAACATGACATTTTACTATAAATTTTCTGCTTTCCTTGTGGTTAGTTTTGATAAACATAGTGATGAGTGCCTTCCTAGTAACTTCATCTTAGGAAGTTACATGCCTAAAAATTTCCTGAATATCTTCCTTTTTTAAAAGTTTGTAAAATGCATTAGGAAGTTGGGAGGCTTATAAGCCATGGAGATACGAAACGTGTGGTTACATGACATGTTAGCCTCAGCAGCAGAGCTGGCTTGGGAGGTTCTCATCCACTCCTGGCTCCGGCAGTCTTTGCCTCTTTCTCTGCTACAGTGCTTTGTGGTCTGTACTATAAGGCGTGTCACCGGAGCGATGTAAGTTAAATTATATCACCCCTCAGGTATTATTTGTTTATTTCTTCTTCAAGATAGATTGAATGGTTCAGTTTACAGTGTACTGCCATATATGCTATCAGAACTGCTGAGGACAAACCAAAATGCAATGCAAAGGCAGAAACTCCTCTGCTTTTCAAATGAATATATGATGTAAGTACAACCCAAGAAAATGGATTAAGAGCCCTTGTTGTGCTGAGAAGTTCTGAATGATACCGATTTCAAGGTGACTTTCACAGGTCGATTGCTCTGTTCATTCCCATCTTTGTTTGGTTCAGGTGTCAGGTATATGCTTTTTTCTTCTAATGCCATCCTGAAGTTTCAGGACTGTAATAAATCAAATGGGATTTTGTGTTTTTTTATGGACTTTAGATATATCCGTATGTCTTCAGGAAGAGAAATCAAATCCAAGCAATTTGAAAGTGAAAATTTCAGGTGACTGAGGGAAATTGGCCAGTAAACGGTGGTTGGTGTATATATATATATGGAGAACTTGTGGAGAAATTTTCAATGGGGATAGGATAAGTTTATGACTTGTGCAGAGCCTCAAGATTTCCATAGAATGTAATAATCACTACCATTGCAACACTGGAGCAATAGTGTTTCCCTCAAGTTCTGCTCACACACAACTGTTTAGCATTTAACTGTTTGACATGTATTCATACAGTGCAAGTCTGCAGATTGTGAATGGTATCTAATAAGACAGGAATTTCTTACCAGTGCCCAGAAAATTGTGAATTCTATATTAATTGCAGTTTCTTTTCTGGATTCCTTATTCCATTCCTTCTGGATGTTTTTTAGGGAAAGGATAAAGTGCCTTTTTTATTGTGTGTATAAAACACCACTTGGTAATATAAAAATCCACCTGGCAATATATCCCCCTGGTAATATAAGAATAGATGTACTGATATGTGACAGGAATTTGTGAAAATTCCCAATCTTCTCCTACCAAGTCATCAGTGCTGTTGAATCTTTTGCTGCCTTCTGATTGTCTTTTGAGGAAGACAAAGGAGTATATTGGTGCAGTGTTACCTCTCTAGAACAGTACACCATCATTTGCTTTATTTTGCCTGCCAAGGGATACCAGTGAGACAACATTCCTCCTAGGAGAAGGCCTGGTCTGCAAAAGGAGGGGTAAGAGATGGGGCAGAACTTTTCCTGCCTTAACTGTGGCAGTACTTAGCACTTAAAATACCTTCCAAAGTTATCCCCTTTAATAACTTTTTATTTAACAACAGAGCTTTGGAAAGCTAGATCTGCACAGGAACCGTAAAATTAATCATTTTTTTTCTGGTGTCTTACTGACTGCCACTGATGTTAAGAGCAGAATAATTGTTTAAAGTCTATCAGCAATAACAGGTCATGCTAGAAGTGGGGCAGGGTCTGTGTGCCCCTGAGGAATATGCCAAGAGCAGGTAATTACTATAGAAATTGTAACCACGGGTGAGTGAGGAACAAATTATGTTTTTTTCTATTTTTATTATCAGATATATTATGGTACAAAATAACTCTAGCAACCAAGTTTCTTTTGGAAGGCTGGTTCCATTTTTTTGTGGGTTTTTTGTGGTTGGGGTTTTTTTTCCCCCTTTCATAGTAACACTTTCTAATTAATTTGCTAGTTAATAACTTACCAGATCTGTCAGAATCCATTCTGGAACCTGGTTGCAAGTTCCAGACAGATCTTTCTAATATATATCACTAGAAATCTGGGGAAGCCTCTGTCTGGATGAAACATAACAATAACATTTATTAGATTTAAATGTTACCCACTACTTTAGAGTAAAAGTTGGCTGAAAGTACCTGAAAGAAGCGAACATTTCATTGACACTTCGAAGGAGGATTTTGTCAATATATACTGTCAGAAAATAGAGGTGCAATACCCAATGAAATAACCATCAGAAATAACAGATTTATACTCTGAAATTTAGATACTTGAGATAATTAACTTTAAAGATAATAAGAAAATTAGAAGTAACTAAAGGGGATAATTTGGTGCTTTTTAAAGTTAGCATTGTGCATGCTGTTTCTATTATAAAATATGCCTGCTAATCAGTGAAATGAGCGGACTATGTTAATCTTACCAAACATAAGACTCCTCACTATTGTATTTCTGTACCACTGAACAATTGTTCATTATATCTGAATCACAACTTTATGAATAAAGCTTTGGATTTCAACATGGCAAAGTAATTTCAAAGATATTAATCAGTTATGGAAAGCTTATTTCACAACTAAAGAAATACTTATACTTACAGGCCTCTATCATTCAGAATTCCAAAAGCCTTTATATCTACGGTATATGCATAGTAAGTACAAATTCAGATTGGAGAAGGCTGCTCAGTTAACTTCTAAAATCACAACAGATTATTTTAATAAAATTAAAAATATTCTTCATCATCTAATCCACTGAATTTTCAAAACAAGGAATAAGTTCAGTTTTCTAATTTGCTTCACTAGTGCTTTTGTGACTAGGTGAAGTAAAAAGAAGGCAACACAGTCATTGCATTATCAAAAGTTAGGCATTGCCATTGGGCTTCAATAAATTTCTTAGCCAAAACATACCCAGTAGAGATTTGATCAATTTGTTGGATGATTTTTTATCATCACATTTGTTTTAAAATATCCAACAATCTAAATTCCCCTTCTCTAAAACTGACCAGTTCTGGGAGAGTATCTTCAAAAATCACAGATTCTTTAAGTTATGGACTAGCTGTGGATAACTAATGAATGAAACCATAGATCACTGTCACTGTCACTGTCACTGTCCAGACACCAAATTGATTCTCTTTTGAAACAATTGGAGAGCGATTACAGAGTCAGAAGCATACAGCATACTAAATCTAAAACCAGAAACTTAAACAATATGACACTTCATCACATTTAATTTGAAGAGAAATTCAGGAGGTTTGTTTTCATTGAGACCTGTAAGTTCTACCACCATTATTAGAGGATGAAGGAGGAATGAGAAGATATACATCTTCAAAGTGTTTTGCTTACTGTTTATATATTTTTTGCAAATGAAAGTGATAATCACATAGTTAAATGAGGACTAGAACATTAAACCAAAAAAACCTATAAAATTTTCATTAATATGTATTAAGCACTATATAAATACT